CTGCACATTCCAGTAAAGATTTCAGTGTACCACAATAAAATATAACAATATGCTAAACCATAGGACCAAAGAGAAGTTTTCATTATAATGTATAACATCAGACTGTTCTCTTCACAATTAGAATAAAATGAAACAGGATATAGTTGTTTGATAACAAAGACATAAACCTGGTTAAGTGCGTAACAGTAGTACTACTAGTAGTAGCAGTAATGGTATTATTACTAATACGCATGTGCAGTAGTAATAGTGATGGTGGTGGTGGTAGTAGAAATAGTAGTAGACGTATTAGTAATGGGCAGAATAGCAAATACACACAATACTACTGGAAATTATACGAAATATAACTAACGCGTACTAATAGAATGTACACACATAGGCGGGGAAAGGGGTGTAGGGGCTTAACCCTCATGGAAATATTGGAAATATTCAAGGTTCAGGGACGGGGTTCAAGTTAGCCTAAGCGCTCAGTATCTGGTGCTCTACAACACATTTCATTCATGATCACAACATGGGCGTGGCCAGTCCAGTTATGCTTGTGGAGCTATTAAGGAGAAGACTGGAACACTTATGGATCTTTACGGACTGCTATTATAATGATCCTGACAGTATATAATTAATAATTAATGACTGTTTAGTACTCTGGAATAAGAAGAGTTATTTTACATCACAAGAAATGAAAATTAATTTTTGCATGCAAACTCTACAAACTCTAGTCTACATACGAACATTTACGACTGAATTTGCTTGTGATCATGCATTGAAATTGTTACTGATTATTTAAATCATTATATACCAAATTATTAACAATAGATTTAAATACTACTAATTAAAAGGCAAACGCTTGCCTCCCACCCGGAGGTCTTGTGTTTGAATCCGCACCGAGACGGACTTTTATAAGCTTTTATTAAGTTAAATTTATTTTGTTTATTTCTCTGGTTTAAATTTTTTTAAATAATTGATCGTGGCTGACTACGTCTAAACGGTTTGAACTAAATATCCTGGAAACTAAAGGTAGCCGGAGTGATATGGACCGCATCAATCCTCGAGTGCTGAATGGTCTATAAAATATATGTTTAGCATCATATGCCAAATGGACCACTGGCGCGAAACGTGTGCTGTTATTAGTTTCACCTCATACATTACACGCATTTTCTAACAAACATTTCAAATGTGAAATAGTCTTCTGAATCCGCTTTATCAGACAGTTTTTACTGCTACAGTATAAATTTGCGTGAAGTTGTACATTATAATAGGAAATTTGACATTACAAAGAGTTGTACATTACAATTTATATTACAGGGAATTGTTCATTATAAAAATGTCGTAGCACGCATTGCGTAAGAGGTTTAGTGTAGCTAGCTTTCTCTGGATTTTTTATCAATAATATGCAGGTGTGTAGGGAAACGAAAAGGTTGACAAATTGACTGATTCTGCACCATTCGGTGTTAAACTGATGCATGCCAAGCTAGATTATGTCAATGCCCTTTTAGGAGCTATTGAACAGTGCAGAGGCAGCATTAGATTATTACGGTCTAAAGAGAATAGTGCTGGGTGACCAGGGGATCTGACCGACACGGCACCCCCAGAGGACAGGCAAGATGGACAAATAAACAGTCTACAACTTGTGCTTTCGGAATTGGAACTCTCCGCTGGCTGCTGAAGATGGGGACGGAGTACTCGTGGGAATGTCCTGAGCTCTGTGACGTTGGTTCATGACACTCTGCTCAGCTCGACAATGTTTTGGGTTTGTTATCGAAAGAGACAAAATTTGTGCCTAAAATCACAGCTCTCAGTCGACCCAAAATTATCAGAATGGGTGCTGGATAATCTCCGAAAAAATATATATGGAAATTATCTGCGAGGAAGAGGGTGACCACGAAAGGAAGAGACCACATTACCTCACATGCCGTGACTTAGAAACTTCCGGGATCTATCAATTGACACCATAATACACACAAAAAAAGTGAAGATACCTTTTCACGCCTTTAGGCGCATCGGGCGTATGGGAAGAGCACCCCATATTTTTGCAGACCAATCGGCACTGGGTGGGTAATGTGGTCAGCATTACATAGGCCATCTTTACTTCCCTAGGACATAAATCCTGGTACCTATTTTAGGCTAGGTCGACCTGCGACGCCCCGTACCATGATGAAAATCCACGCAGCGAGCAGTGGGTTTTCATCGCTACGTTGGAATTACGAGTTAGACTCGCAACGCCTAAGCCACAGACGCCGCTATTTGACACCAAAAGGGCAGTAAATACCGTGGAAATAACTTGAACATATTTTCATGTTTATGTAAGTACCTTTCACTTGATTAATTCAATATTAACACATAGCTATTAACGTTTGTATATTTCATGTTCACGTAAGTAACTTTCACTTGTTTAATTTAATATTAACACATATCATTTCATTTCTAAATAAATGTGTACATTTGTAACATATCCCTGTTGTTGAATATATGCATACATAAAGTAAAGGACCGTTTTCCACGCCTTTTGGCGTTTTAGACATTGGGACTATATTTTTACAGACCAATTGACCTTCGATGAGTGTTGTGGTCAACATCACACCGGCAGCCTCTATTTCCCAGGACTGTAAATAGTACCCATTTAAGGCTGTGTCGACCTGGGAACGAAATGTCATTTTTTGGAAACTATAGTCCGGCTACGGGAGAATAATGAACGCACGACCTTTCGATCCACAGACGAGCTTCTAGCCGCTACACCACGGCGGCTCCTATGTCCACTCATATAGTGCCGTATTTTGACATGTGCAGCATCTACAGCTGAGCATGGTAGCAAAAGTATGAGGACAGTCACACATAAATTATTTCTTAGTGTTTTTATGATTATGAGACACTCTTGAGTTAGCTTTAAGGTATTGTAACAAGATAGTACTATTTGCACACCACTCCAGTCTGAGATGACAACACTTGGCCGGTTGCCAAAGACGTATAAGGGCTAATAACTGAAGTGATATTTTTTTCTGTTTGTTTACCATAAATTTTTGAAATTAAAATAGTTTATAAAATTTCAACTCACTCATTTGAACTAATAGGTTTAAAAACGTCACTTCAGTCTGAAATTAAAGTATTTAATTTCAGAGTTTAATGTTGGTAGTCTCTTTCCCCGTGTTGGTTCTGGGGCCATGTTATAGGGAAAACAAGAATAGACCCACTGCCTACCTAAAAGCAAGACGTAAGAGTCGACTAATTAGGAGCTTCCTTCAAAGTCGGAGTGCATCTGCCTGAAAGGCAAGGAGCCAGTAGTCTGCATACAAATGAGTCAGATCTGTAAAACGGATGCACACGCAAAAAGGGCGTGGAACAGGACCGCAGTCCAGAAGTGGATGAACAGCTAGAACTTTCCGACAGAGTTTACAGCCGGTGTACGCGAAGAAGAAGGTTGTCTGTTAACAAACAGTGAAGTTTAGCTGTTAGAGAAGGTCGTACAAATAAATGACGGCACAGGGACGTCACACATCATAAATACGACAAGCTCATTATTAAATCTAAGCTTGTGCCGTCTCTGCGAAAGACGTAGTCTGCAGCAGGCCTTTCCATCCACCCATGTCTTTGGTAATAACAAGTCATGAAGCTATAATCTCTTCTACCATGACTTATTTATTTTCTACTTTTGAAGAGATTGAACATACCCGCAGTAATCGCATTCAGACCCAAGAGACATATTTTATCTAGTCCTGTTCAACTTTTATAGGATGTGATAAAAGCATGCATTTCGCTCGCAATGAACATATTTTTCTCAAAACATTTCTCATTCTTTTCAACACTTAACACGATAATTAATTGTCCGTTAAATATTCAATTCAATAAAACTCACGAGAGCACATATGCGTGCATTTTTATTTACATTTTCTCCCTCACCCGTTTTTAAACTTTAATCAACGCTACAAATAGTAATTAACTTGGCGGTAAATGCCCAATACAATTTTTACCGAGCATTAAATTAAACAAAAAGGTTTCCTTTAATCCAATCTAGGTTATTTAACAACTAAACTAATTTTTTTTTTTGGGGGGGGGGGGGGGGGGGGGGTTGTTTACAGTCTGTGTCTTTAAGACAAGCAATGCAATACTACAAAATGAAATGAATATTTTTTTTTTTAAATCCCCACATTAATGTTTACCAAGTAACCTCATGAATTTTGATAAAAACTATTCACTTAAAATATTTAAAACAACGTTTTCCAGTAATGAATTTAAATAATGCGGATACAAACAATACATTGCACAATTTATTGCCAATGCATATTTCGCTGTATCTGTAACGCACCGGATGAGATGCAGCGAACTATGCCTGGCACTAAATTGTGCAATGTATTGTTTGCATCCGCATTATTTATATTCACCTAAACCCACACTACTGCACTTACCAACTTAATTCTTTTAACATAGACAGTGTTTTCAAGACAACCAATGCAACACGACAGACAGTAAGTAAATTATTTTTTTTACATTTTGGTCTGAGGAGATGGAACTGCAAGGTGTTACCAAGATATCTAGCTGATGCTTATCACTCAAGGAAAGGGCGAGACTGATATACAATCAGACAGTTACTGGTGTTATCGGAATCGGAACTCTTCGTATGCTGCTGAAGATGGGGATGGATCGCTTATGGAGGGGGGTGTCACTAGTGCTATGATGTCGATTTCTAATCCAACATTCAACATTCTTTAACATTTTCAAGTTGATGCCTACCATGTACCCGCGTGTATTTTGCTATAAACTATGTTGTTCAAAACATGTTTATTTTAAACTACTTTTCTCCAGGGACCATTTTAGCTCTTTCGTATCCACGCTATTTGATACAGACTTCTAACCCAAAAAGGTAGCTTGGTCTATAACAAAATGAGTCTAGCCTCATGTGCCCGATGCGCCACCGGCGCGTAACGGGACATTTATCCAGACCGTATATTCAAGACCAGAAATGTTCCGTGGTGACTAAACCTTTAAAAAAAAAAAAAAACCCATGTACTTACTATGTTAACATGATCACCGTTCCAGCTGTCGATCTTCATACAGAACATCTTGGCTAAAACATCGAAGCAGATTCTTTTGATAATCAGAGGTACTGGCTTCCCGCTAGATCCTTTGTGGTGGACATTCAATGTAAATACGGTCATGGCGGTGGCAAAGGACACGATGAATATCGTCATTCCGTAGTATATGCCTGTAAATATGTTTTCACATACAAGAAAATTGTCAAAGTATCAAACCTGTACACGAATATTGTATGAAACACACAAAGGAAAATATAAGAGTCTATGTACCATAAGGACCAAGCTATTTGCTTCGAACTCTGAAGGTTGTCGGTAAGTTATTGGACTGGTGATGGTTTCCAAGTTCCTTGACGCTGAAGCTATACCGTTTGTTTGTTCTTCTAAATCAATCAGGTTTCTTTCAGCATATGCACTCATTATTAGCACGATGATACACTAGTAGGAAAAGCGAATGAAAACAAGGAAGAAGAAACTAATGAAGAAAATTAGAAAAGTTAAAGAGAAAAAAGAAAAAAAAAAGAAAGAAAGAATAATAAGAAGAAGAAGAATAAGAAGAAGAAGAAGATGGTTGAATGAGAATAAAATTGTGCGGCAAAATTGTTTGTGTGTGTATGTGTGTGTGCGTGTGTGTGTGTGCGCGCGCACCGGCGCAGAAAGAAGTTGGGCTTACAAAGGAAAAACATGGATACAAGTACAAAGTAGTTATGAACAGAACCTTGGAAAAGAATATAAATGTATAATGCTGAGCCGATGTGAAATAAAGAAATGTAATAATGTGGGTAGGGGACCTTGGGGGGGGGGGGGGGGGGGGGGAGGAGAGGGTGATGGTAGGCTGGCGAGGTGGGGAAATGAGTGAATAAAACTGAGGTGCGAAAGTTCTAGTGGATAAAAGGGAAGAGAGAGAGAGAGAGAGAGAGAGAGAGAGAGAGAGAGAGAGAGAGAGAGAGAGAGAGAGAGAGAGAGAGAGAGAGAGAGAGAGAACAAAGAAAGAGGATGAATAAATCATATAATGACCGTGTGAAAGACCTAATAGAAAGAATGAAAACGGCCAGAAGAAGTGAACGATGTATTTCAGATGTAAGCCTGACATTTAATCGAACCCAACTTGGCCTCTAACAAGCAAAGAATCTAACCAGCAAACTGGAGCACCACTGGTAGATGATGTGTCCCTGGCATACTCCAGGTGTCGGGTTATTTGTTGCGTCTGTGGCCTAACCGTTAGGAATACAGTTGCATAGTTCTCACACACTGAGTTAGAATCAGCTGCAGACGAATCGGCAGTAGAACGCTTAGAACTGATTTATTCAACGGTATGAGCGTCGAACCGTTTTGAAAGCCACAGTGCACTTCTAAACCCAAAACTGCCCAGTAAAACCATAAGTAACCAAACATTATTTGCCTTAGTTCGTGATGTCTAAAAACATATTTGCAACTAACATGTTTGATGAGGTTTGAGGTTTTGAACAACGGATCAACATAATGGAACACGGGTGTAAACTATAAGTGCTCCGTATTTTTCTAACTCAAGTCTGAGTCTGAAGAAGCTCAGCACAGTGCACAGGCTATTTAGCACCGGCGGGGATCCTGAAATACATTGGATAGATTTCAAACTCCAAATTTTGCCCGGGCAGCGCCGTTAGGCTACTCTTTTCGATTTTAAACTGCCAAGGGATTTTTTACGTGCGCAACAATGCACACGGGCGTCCGATCTCACTACCCAGACACCAGGGGGAATTACTAGAAGCCCAAGTCTACGTGAAAAATCTCAGCTCTTACAGGTGATTCAACCCGGAACCTCTATTACTCGAGACAGACACCACCCATCGAGACCAAGCAGCTGCCTCATGTTTGATGGATTTTTAGGACGTCTCAACTTTCTGGGTTTTAACGGATGCCCCTGAACGCTACGGCAGGTATGCGGAGACGGCGGAAATCGTCCCCATCTACTGTGCCGAAAAGCAGTCAGGTTTAATTTCGCTATCTGATTCGCCATCTCAGACGATTACTAGGCCGGTCTTTATATTATAGCTTAGTTGCGTATCCTTTACAGAGGTTGCAGAACCAACCTCAGCATTTTTTGGCTGTTGTGTTTTTTTTTTCCTAATAGGCAAATTTACATCCAGTAGTTTGTCATTGCGCTCAACGATCGGCTTCTCAATACCACTGTCGAAACCAACGCAAGGCGCAAAGCTCGCAGCTGGGTCGAACCCGGCACCCGGGCATTGCGAGGCGCGTTCGCAACACCTAAGCCACAGACGCCGACAAAAAGACAGTACTAGTAATTCAAAAGCCGATCCAGTCTAAGAATAGGTAGATGAGAATGAAATGAGAGGCATATTTTACTGGTGAAATTCTGAATATTGTCACTCAATGAGTACCTTTAGTATATACCTATATATACCTATTATCTTTTGAGGAGTAGACCGTGGTCTTTATAGTTACGTATTAACCGAAGTAGAAATTATAACTTTCATGCAAAAACGCAATGTAAAGATTATAGGACTGTCAGACTGTAGAAAAATATAAACGCAACATTACAAAATGTGGAGTGAGATTATGAGAAATGACGCGGGAAAAACAAAAAGAAACAGAGTCACAAATGAAGAACTACGAACGATAGTATACACAGTATCGGTAATATAATATGCATAGATATAAAGCTATCACACAGACAGACAGACAGACAGACAGACAGACAGACAGACAGACAGACAGACAGACAGACAGACAGACAGACAGACAGACAGACAGACAGACAGACAGACAGACAGACAGACAGACAGACAGACAGACAGACAGACAGACAGACAGACAGACAGACAGACAGACAGACAGACAGACAGACAGACAGACAGACAGACAGACAGACAGACAGACAGACAGACAGACAGACAGACAGACAGACAGACAGACAGACAGACAGACAGACAGATAGATAGATAGATAGATAGATAGATAGATAGATAGATAGATAGATAGATAGATAGATAGATAGATAGATAGATAGATAGATAGATAGATAGATAGATAGATAGATAGATAGATAGATAGATAGATAGATAGATAGATAGATAGATAGATAGATAGATAGATAGATAGATAGATAGATAGACAGATAGATAGAACAAACTTTATTTTCAAAGGGTTGAGAATTGGGCACACAGGCCCGTCTTACATTCTGCCCTTCTGGCCTCACGCCATGCATACATTATTCATGCACACAGTTTTAACAGATAATAATAAAAATAATAATAGTATTCATAAGCATCATTAACAATATCTTTGTAACAATATGTACTCTAAGCATGCTCACATTTTAAAACTAGTATACTACTAAATATAATAAATCTTGGTGGAAATCAACAATATTTTTGGAGACAGACAGACAGACAGACAGACAGACATACAGACAGACAGACAGACAGACAGACAGACAGACAGACAGACAGACAGACAGACAGACAGACAGACAGACAGACAGACAGACAGACAGACAGACAGACAGACAGACAGACAGACAGACAGACAGACAGACAGACAGACAGACAGACAGACAAATATAGGTGGGTAGATAGATTGACAGATAGACATATATGTAGGTGGGTAGACAGATAGACCGATAGATATGTAAGTAGGTAGGTAATGAAACAAGAGAATGCTGAGACAGTAGATTCCACACAGAAAATCATGTACTTACCTATAAGAGGGAGAACGTCTGAGGTAGGAGGCATGTTCTCTGTTACCAGCATCATGAAGACAGTCATTGACAACAGTGTCGTGATACCCATGGTCACTTTCTCCCCGGAGTCTGACGGAATGTAGAATCCCAGGAGGGCCACCAAAGTAATGAGTATACACGGGAGAATCATATTGAAAATGTAAAACAGCGGGCGACGCTGTGGGCATAGAGAAGATATTTACATTTCATTAAGCTCACCGTAGGAAATTTATCTGACACTTTTCATGTTAACACGAATTCATGGTGTGAAACAAAAAGGTACAAAGAAAAGAAATTAGTTTAAATAAGGTTGAAACATGTTTAATGAATCTTTCATCAACTAATTTTCAACTGCAGCAGCAATTACCCAGAAAACAATTGGGGGAAAAGACGACCTTTTAAATGTATATTTAAAACACTGTTATCTCCGAATTCTTCTTCCTCATCGCCCTTCCTCGTTCTCCACTTGACTTTACTTCATATAGTACTGCATGTATTACAACTACAGCGTGTGGTAGTAGCAACTCTGTTAGTAGCAACAGAAGTAGAAGTAGTAGCAGTTGAAGTAATGGTTGCAATAGTAGTAAAAGAAGTAATAGTAGTAATCGTAGTAGCAGTTGTAGTAGTAGTGTTACCAGTAGTAATAGTCAGGATACTTCTTCTTTGCGTTCAGTTTCGTATGCTTAGATCAAACCATTAGGTGGGTTGCCTCTATGAACTCACATGTCAGCTGAAGGTCCTTGATAGTTCCCCATAGCTTTCTTTGGAAACTGCTATTAAGGCCAGGTTTCTTTTCGAAGTTGTATGTAGAGTGGGCAGGTCTGCAGAATGTGCTTGGGTGTTTGTGGTCCTGTCTGACATGCACACTGTAGGGAAAGTACAGTCCTGCCGTGTGCTGTTCTTAGACGTAAAATTGTATTGTTCTTTCTGCTGAGACTGCTGATGGAGTATTGTGGATGTTTACAGTTAGTTTTTTCACTTCCCAATTCCTTGTATTCTCCCTTGATAAGGTTTTTGATTTCTGGTAATGACAGTGAATGGATGTGTTGTTTCTCATTTCTTTAAAAAAACTTTGTTGAAGGTATGGTACCAGAAAGGAGGGGCAGAGGCCGACCATCACTTAGTCTCCGTGTGCATCCTAATTAACTTCAACGTCTTCCCCTCAGCTCTTTATTAGCTGCAGTTGGCTTAGTTCCCTCCCAATACTCATCTTTAATGTCTTTTGAACGTGTCAAATTTAACACGGATAAGAAATGCGGCAGGAATTACAAAAAGAGATAGTCAAAAATGGAAAACAGACCATATACAAACATAAGAGAGAACAGTCACCAAATAATAACAACACAGCAGAGCGTTTAAAATCAAGGGGACAGAAAACACTAGTTGCCGAAAGATTTGAATTACAAATAAGTATTTATTTGTTGTTGAAAGCTTTAGCCCAGTGATGAGGAATGAAGGAAAAACAATTAAAGAAGGTGAATGAGGAGGAGGAGGAGGAAGAGGAGGAAGAAGAAGAAGAAGAAGAAGAAGAAGAAGAAGAAGAAGAAGAAGAAGAAGAAGAAGAAGAAGAAGAAGAAGAAGAAGAAGAAGAAGAAGAAGAAGAAGAATACACACTCAGCGCATGAATAAGCGTATTGCGTAATTCCCTGACTTAATTCTAAAACGTCACTGTTACTGCGGAAGTTATGGCCATAAATGATATAGTTATTCCTACGCTTTTATACAAGAAAAACATGAAAAAATCAATACATATGCCATCAATCATTCACCCAAGTAATCTGCACATGTAACTGTGTACAACAAAAAAAAAAAAAAAAAACAACAACTAATAAAACTGGTCAATAATAACACTAAAAATGGCAAGCATAGATATCTTTGTTTTTTTTCTTGTTACATATTTAGAAAACGACAAGCAAAACAAACACCAAGTGGAATGTAAACAGTAAAACTGAAAAGAAAAATTACAGATTACCGAGTCCAAATTGTGAGAAGCAGACGGGAAATCAATAGAAGTTTGCTACAGGTAATATTGGAGATGCTCAGCCAACTGCGCTTAATGATGATATTAAATGCATCTTGGAATCAAAAATATCTGCTGATTAAAATATTAATTGACTGTCTGACCAGGGAATCCACATTTGTTGTAGCCGAAAGGACGTGCAGTGAAAGGGGCAATTCAAACTGAATAAAAACTCATGCGACAAAATTAGTGATGGCTTTTAGATAATGTATAGAGTATTAGTATTAACACAGAATTTGCTACAACATGCCGGATTTGCCATAAAGCGTCTTTCACTTTTTAATTTTCGAAATTAATGTTTGTTGTTATTACTAAATAACTACTGTAAAATGTGCTGTCTTTGTAAGGTCACTAACAACACAAGAAGGGACAGTAATGGATACTAGCAATTTGAATAAGATCATGTCTGGGTTAGATTGACTGGCAAAGAATAAAATGGTTCGGCCATTTAGTGAGAATGCAGCCAGACTTAACTTTAAATGAGACATTTCACAGCATAAAATGTGGGAGGAAGGCAAGGGAAATACCAAGAAAGAGATTGATAAATGGTGTAGCTGAAACTTGCCGAAAATATGAACAAATCCATCACCAAGCCACCTGAGAAGCGCAAGACAAATACAGAAAACCACGACATTAGGCTACAACCTGGTAGCAGTGAGACGACACACACACACGCACACATACTGGGCTACAACGTGGCATGAGTGAGACGACACACACACACACGCACACACACCGGGCTACAACCTGGTATCAGTAACACGACACACACACACATAGGGCTACAACCTGGTATCAGTGAAACGACACACACACACACACACACACACACACGCACACACACCGGGCTACAACCTGGTATCAGTGAGACGACACACACACACATAGGGCTACAACCTGGTATCAGTGAAACGACACACACACACACATTGGGCTACAACGTGGCATTAGTGAGACGACACACACACACACATAGGGCTACAACCTGGTATCAGTGAGACGACACACACACACACATTGGGCTACAACGTGGCATCAGTGAGACGACACACACACACATTGGGCTACAACCTGGTATCAGTGAGACGACACACAAACACATAGGGCTACAACCTGGTATCAGTGAAACGACACACACACACATTGGGCTACAACCTGGTATCAGTGAGACGACACACACACACATAGGGCTACAACCTGGTATCAGTGAGACGACACACACACATAGGGCTACAACGTGGCATCAGTGAGACGACACACACACACATTGGGCTACAACCTGGTATCAGTGAGACGACACACACACACATAGGGCTACAACCTGGTATCAGTGAGACGACACACACACACATAGGGCTACAACCTGGTATCAGTGAAACGACACACACACATAGGGCTACAACCTGGTATCAGTGAGACGACACACACACACATACATACACACACATAGGGCTACAACCTGGTATCAGTGAGACGACACACACACATACACACACACACATAGGGCTACAACCTGGTATCAGTGAGACGACACACACACACATACACACATAGGGCTACAACGGGGCATCAGTGAGACGACACACACACACACACACATAGGGCTACAACGCGGCATCAGTGAGACGACACAAACACACACACACACATAGTGCTACAACCTGGTATCAGTGAGACGACACACACACACATACACACACACACATAGGGCTACAACCTGGTATCAGTGAGACGACACACACACACATACACACACACACATAGGGCTACAACCTGGTATCAGTGAGACGACACACACACACATACACACACACACATAGGGCTACAACCTGGTATCAGTGAGACGACACACACACAAATACACACACACACATAGGGCTACAACCTAGTATCAGTGAGACGACACACACACACATACACACACACACATAGGGCTACAACCTGGTATCAGTGAGACGACACACACACACACATACACAAACACACTTAGGGCTACAACCTGGTATCAGTGAGACGACACACACACACACATACACACATAGTGCTACAACCTGGTATCAGTGAGACGACACACAGACACACATTGGGCTACAACGGGGCATCAGTGAGACGACACACAGACACATACACACAAGATGAAATTGTTTCAGAAGCTTTTAATTTATACTAAAACACTATGCACCAGAAATAAGCAATTGCAACTGTTTGACACTGTTTAAGCACATGCGACGAGACAGATTGAAATCCGCTGGGTTAATTCGAAGGATTTTTTTTGTTAACAGAGATTTGGGCAGAAAATTGGACTTCTTCTTCTTCTTTTTCTTCGCGTTCACCAGCTGTACACTCTGGCGTAAAGTTCTGGTTGTTCGTTCAATTCTGGACTGCAGTCCTGCTCCAGAACCTGACTGTTGCGTGTGCATCAGTTTTACAGATCTGATTCAACTGAATGCAGACTGCTGGTTCCTTGCCTCTCAGACAGATGCACTCTGACTTCAAAGGAAGCTCCCCAGTTAGTCGACTCTTACGACATGCTTTTAGGGAGGCAGTGGGTCTATTCTTGTTTTCCCCATAATAGGGCCCGGCAACCCACAAGGGGGAAAATTGGAAATGATTCTTATATTGTGGCAGGAAGAGACATCAGCAGAACTGACAGATAATGATTGAAATCGCAAGATGGGGAGAAGTATGATCGCTTATTTGATGATGATGTTACACATTAGATTGTAGTAATTGGGTTGTAGTAATAAAACTACCTTACTGCGTTAAAATGCAGTTAGATACACATTAATTAAATAATGTAGAAAAGACTTCGTAAAGGATGAGAGACGAATGACTGAAAAGAAATACACAAAATACATTATGTTTTGGTAGCAACTGTTCTGAAATTTCCTGCTCTAATTATGGAAGTCTTTTCTTAACGCAGGCGGGTCTTACTATTCACACTCGCCATCACTTTGGGCTGTCTAATGCCACCTCATTGCATACAGGGGGCAGCGTGGTCTCAAGGCATGGTGTTCACCTCGAGTGCTAGAATTTCCGGGTTCGATCCCCGTTAAAGGCGAGGAGTTTTTTCACGAGGACTTGGACTTCTAGTAATTCCCCTGGTCTCTGGGTAGTGAGATCAGACGTCCGTGTGCAGTGTTGCGCACGTGAAAAAATCCCTTGGCAGATGGACATCGAAAAGAGTAACATAACGGTACCTTCCGGGCAAAATTTGGATTTAAAAATCTACTCTAAGTATTTCAGGTTCCTCACTAGTGATACAGAGCATGTGCACTGTGCGAAGCTTCTTCGGACTCAGAAGAAATGGGTTACTACCCGTGTGCCATGATGTTGATGCCTTGTTCAAACTTTGAACTCCTCCTCATAGTACAATATAACAGTATCGTCTGGAAAGACGGCATGATGCCAACAACATATATTTAATGTCAATAAATGAATTCGTAATAATCTTATCTCAATCTTGTCATTCTCTGTGTAAGCGGTTTCTAGACGTTAAAGTCACTGGCCTTTAAGACGTCTGTGGTGCGATGTAAGACTTCCACTGTTCCAAGCAGCTTGATTTTCATTAGAATTCCAAAGGCCAAACCAGGGACGTCTCTACTGCATGTAAAAAGAGTATCTGTAGCACACGTTGAGTATTCTGTGGCACCTTTCACATGGACCTAGTCCTGAATCCTAATACTGAATGCAAACAAATACATCTAACACTACACGCGCGTGTGTATGTGTGTATAATTGAAACAGAACACCAAAGACCGAGATCTGTGCCGACGCATGAACACCTACACCAGCTAGCAAGACACTTGATGATATATATATATATATGTGTGTGTGTGTGTGTATGTGTTCGTGTATCTATATGTTAGGTTCGTTGCGTATCCTTTACAGGACGTTGCAAAACCAACCCCAGCAGCCCCTGGCTGTTGTGTGGTTTTTCTAGGCAATTTACATCCAGTAGTTTGCCATTGCTTTCTGGACGATTGCCCCCCAACCACTGATACCACTGTTGAAACCAAAGCAAGGGGCATGAACCGCATCTGGGATCGAACCCGGTACCCCGGCATTACGAAGCGTTAACATCGACTTAACCACAGAGCCGACGTATCTATACGAACACAAGCATAAAACACAGTCACATGCACAACATTATTAATAAAGGCAAACAAGTACCCTGATGATTATATAGAAGGTAATGTCCGGGTATGGCTCCTCACAGCAAGAAAAGTATTGAACATTCCTTTCCACAAGAAGGTTGATCAACTCCCACTCGCTGTTCTGTATATAGTTGCTAGTATCTCCTCGGTCGGAATTTATAGTTAGATTCAGCTGAAATAAATAAAAATCATACTTTATGAATTGTGAATTATTGTATATTCAATTATTACTGCGGCGTCTGTGGCTTAGGCGTTGCGAACGCGCTTCGCAATGCCGGGGTGCCGGCCTCGATCCCAGCAACGGGCCTTGAGCTTGGTCTTAGCTTTGACAGTGGTATCGAAAAGCCGACCGTCCAGGAGGCATTGGCAAACTCATGGAAGTAAATTTACCTAGAAAACACACAACAGCCAAAACATGCTGGGGTTGGTTCTGCAATGTCCTGCAAAGGATACACAACAACAATTATTATCAAAACACATTGTCAGATTATCCATTATTTCAACACTAGGTAACCGCTTTTTCAACGAAAGTTATTATTAGAGCTCTTTTTTTGGGGGGCCAATTAATCTGCCTCAGTTATTTTATCTTCATGTGGTTTTCAGGAAAAATAATTCTTGCTTGCTATATACATCGAGTTTTTCCATATGGCTGCAAATCCTGGACAATCGGTAGGCAGGGCAAACAATTTCTTGAGGCCTCAGAGATGTGCATTTACAGAACAATGCTTAAAATAATCTGGACAGCCAAAAAGAGCAACAAAGAGGTTTTAAAAGAGGCGGAAGCATAAAGACAACTAATCAGAGACATTAGAAGAAGACAGTCATTTTTTTTTCGGCCATGTTATGAGATGAGGGAAAAATGGAACATGTTGTGACCACTGGAAAAATTTGTGGAAGGAGGGGTAAAGAAAGACAACGAAAAAAGATTCTTGACAGTCTTGTTGTTTGGCATGAAGGTGTGTCAGCACACAAACTAATACATGCTGCAGGAGATGGCAGACTGTGGAGAGGCATGATCGCCCATGTCAGTCGGCAAGGTACCTGATGATGATGATAATGATGATGGTTTTTAGGGTTCCCATTACGAGGCGGGAGATTGTGAAGATAGACCCACTGCTCCTAGTAAGCCTTTTTTTAAAGGAGAATAATTAGATGTCTGCTGAACGAATATTAACCTGGTTGAAAAACGCAGATATCGCAGCCTTGCCGTAATCACAAAGGGATAGCCGCCTTTTCAAAACGCCAATTAAGAAAAGAACTAATTTCAAGATGATTTTGTTATTGTACTCATCTTGTGGGTGCTTCGACTAAAGACATATCGTGCTGTTGTCGAGTTTCTTTGATATTATTGGTAATACAGCAAGTAAGGGACAACGAAAACGAGGTTCGGGTCCAGAAAGCTGCCCAACAGTCGCATCAGGGCCATTGGGTCAGCCTGGAGAGCGCATTGCCAAGAGTCGTACAAATAAATGACGGCACAGGGACGTCACGCATCCTAAATTATTAAATCTAAGCTTGTGCCATCTCTGGGAAAGACGTAGTCTGCAGCAGGCCTTTCCATGCACCCATGTCTTTGGTAATAACAAGTCATAAAGCTATAATCTCTTCTACCATGACATATTTATTTTCTACTTTTAAAGAGATTGAACATACCCGCAGTAATCGCATTCAGACCCAAGAGACATATTTTATCTAACCAATCGTAAGCTTGCCGCTCAGTCGTTTAGGTATGCAGACTGCTTTAATTATGCTACCGCAACGACTTCTTATCTCACAGTACCTTCTGCAAAATCACTAATTCGTCTTGTCCCTATCCGAACAACATCCGGTAATTTCGTGCAGCAGGGGAAACCAACCCTGAGCTTCATGACCTCAGGTGGGCCCACTCTCTGAAAATGTATAGGAGCTCGTCGGCCGAAACATTTGTTGACGAGAAATTACTTCTACTGATGATTGATAGATCCCTGCTGTACATGCTCCCCTGTGGAGTTTCTTCTTATTGTCCATTTTGTTCTTGGTCTACCTTGTGCTCTGCGTCCTTCTGTCCTTTTGGTTAATGTCTTGCATGGTTTGGCTTCGCCGAGCATTTCTCTACGTGGGAAAAGCGCTTGATCTTCTTTCTTTGTATGTAATATAGTTTTAGTTCTATTAATGTCGGCTTATTATCTTATGATCTCATTTCTGATTTCATCTCTCACGATCGCTCTCATGCATCTCATTCCATGGTTATCAATTTTCTTCTATGAGTTACTTTAAGTAACCATGTCTGACTTTGGTAGCATAGAGCAGGTAATGTCATGGGAATAAAAGTACTGGCCAGAAATAGGGTACAACATTCATCAAGTGTCGACTGGTCTATAACAGTAGTTCTTATCTTTCCATATGCCGCAACCCTTTAATACATTTCCTCATGTTGTGGTGACCTCAACTATACATTTTTTTTAATTGCTACTTCGTAACTTCAGTGAATATGTGTTTTCCGATAGTCTTAGGCGACCCTTGCGAAAGGGTCGTTCGACTTCCAAAGGAGTCGCGACTCACAGGTTGAGAACCACTGGTCTGTGAGAATATTGCTCACGCACTATTCGTTTGATTCGCAACTGGCATGAAAAAAGCCTCTTACTTACTTCACACTGTAGTGCTAGTCACCCATGCCTCTTCTTTCAGAAACTATGCAACTATTGATATCCATTCTAAACGATGGTAACATTAACACAATCCAAATTATTTCAGGTTCCGAGGCATTCAATAGTTTAAGAACAGTTTTCTTTGATGTGCTGATTGTATTATGTCATGAATGTGTCTTGTATTGCCCCAATTATTTTAGGAACCGGCGGTGCTGTTAAAGTTTACAAGTCTGGGCAGAGGATAATAGATAATTGAGTCCCCTTCCCCAGTATTTCGGGAGGTGGAAGGGGGGGGGGGCGGTAATAAATAAATAAAAAAAGGGAGGTGGAGGGCTGGTGAGCTCCAACACCTTCAACATTTGCAAGAGACTAGTGGTCTCGAGGCATGGCGTCCGCCTCAAGTGCTGAAGCTACTAGGTTCAGGCCTCGGTGAAGGCTGAAATTTTTCACGTGGCGTCACCTCGAATGCTGAAGGTAATGGGTTGAGGCTCCGGTAAAGGCTAGGATATTTCACTTAGACTTTTAGTGATTTCATATGGCCTCTGGGTAGTAAGATCAGACGCCTGTGTGTATTACTGAGTACGTAAAAAAAAATCCATTGGCAGTTGAAAATCGAAAACAAGTAGCCTTACTGCGCTGCCCGGGCAAATAGCAAGTTAAAAAAAATAATATAAAAATAGTTCAGGTTCCTCGCCGGTGCTACGGAGTTAGTGAACGGCGATAAGAATCTTCGGACTCAGGGTGGAGTTAGAAGTAAAACGGAGCAATTATGGCAGAGGTTCTCAACCTGTGGGTCGCGATTTTTTGGGGTGGAACGACCCTTTCACAGGCGTCATTAAAGACCATCGCAAAACACATATTCATTGAAGTTGTAAAGCAGCAACGAAAATAATTGAATGGTTGGGAGGGAGAGAGGTTGGGGGGGGGGGGGGCAGGGGGGGGGGTTGTCAGGAAGAGGAGGGATGAGGGGTGGGGGGTTGCCACAACATGAACTGTATTAAATGGTAGTGGCATTAATAAGATTGAGAGGCACTGACTTAAGGGTTACTTGCCTTGTTCCATGATGTTGATCCGTTGTTCAAACCAAACCAAGAGACTAAGTGGTCTCCCTAACCGTGTAAATATTTATTCGTGTTTGCTGATACATTTCATTTCAAATATATTATTTTTTAACCATTCACTATATAATATTATACAAAACTCAACGACTGGAAAGACCAACAAGGTGCACAAATGCAGCAGAAGATTTTGATCAATGGACACATCAGACTTTCATTCAAAATCGACAATGTCCTCCAGAAACAGAAACAATAAAAAACGGCAACAGAAAGGGAGAAATGTACACGAAAAATAAAGACATAAACGAGCGAAATAAAACAACAATAAATAAATAAATAAGGGCATGTTGAACTTTGATCCCCACAGGACTGAGAATGTTACAACTTTGAACGAAAGACTGTCCAATAAGAGACGAATGGAACAAGATGTGTTGGCTGCGACAGAGTTCTGATTTCCATCTTGATTGTTTGAGCCATCAACATAAAAGTTTACGCACAGAGCGAGATTGTGAACATTCCTATGATATAACTGCATGTATGTAATTTACATATTGATAAAAACATTCCTGCCTAATCACATTTACAGACAGGTTGACGGAGGAACGGACGGAAGTATGGACGGAGAAACGGACTAACAGGAAGACAGGTAGAGGGACTTTGAGGCAGTCAGAAAAAAAAATACAGTTTAGAAAAACACAACTTTGACTAGTCACAACCACAAATGAAGAAATTACTATACACAGATACAAAGACACTGTAATGATCTGATAATGAACATAACGGCACGTGATTAGGTAAGTAAACAAAACACCGTCCTCTTTTGTGATGCGCGTCGATCGTTACAGGTGCTTTTCACATTGCCTTGACTACACCTGATTGTCTGTTTTGTTCTCATCTTCCATTTACAGATGCTATTTTCATTGTCTGAGACTGCAATTTCTTCCCAGTGTTTGATTTTCTAGGAATAAATACTGTTCTTGCTGTCTGGTGTTATCCAAGCCAGCGAGCCTTAGACTGGAGACTGGAGATGGTAGTTTCATTTCTACTGCTATATTATATATGCTTTCATACAGAATACACTTGTTTTATTTTACAGTAATGCACTTAGGTAAACCTGCGAGGCTGTATGCAGATTATGTTTCTGTCTTATTCAATTGCTGTGAATTTTCTGATGCGGACAGTATCAAATTTTATCTGCAAATGGGTCTACAATTTTTTGTTGAAAAAAATTTTTTTTAGTCTTATGTCGTAAAAATGTGTTATATATCATGCCAACCTCTATCTCGCTCCTTCTATTTTCTCTCTGTGTGTGTGTGTGTGTGTGTGTGTGTGTGTGTTTTTACTGTTTGCCCTCAATCTCTATTACACTGTTTCTCTCCATTATCAGTCTGTACTTTCTTCTTACCTAATCCCTTATTATCGTTACCGAGTTTTCTCCATTGTACTCTTTCCTCCTCTCTCATTCTTGCCTCTTCTTCATATTTTTT